CATTGAATAGACATATAATTAGATTGTATTGATTGTAGTGATAATCGTGTGAATCGGTGACAAACGGTGGTAAGAGTTGAGAGTTGACAGTGTATTTGGTGACAATGATTGAGGTGATGATTGGTGGTCAGGTGGCGTCAGACACCGCCCTTTGAATTGAATGTAAATGACAATTGAATTAATGGCTCATTTGATGATACAATAGTTGGTGAAGGAGTGGATGGTGTGGTTGTCTGTATGGAGTGTCCAAAATCCGGGTCAGTTCTTGTATACGGTTCTCATAATACTGTCGCCATTCTTCTGCATCAGTGCTTACCTGTCGTGGAAACTATCGAAACATATAGAGACTGAGAACCGGAAGAATAGACTGAAGAATAAACGGATCGATAATATTAAACAGCGAAAGAAACACAAATAGATTTGAAGACATTTTGCACGAGATTTCTATTATGACTACTATTTTAATACAGATTTACTGAACATTTATACTAATTATTCAATAAACGGACCAAAAGTTTCTATGAATAAAGTATTCAAGAGTTTGTCTTCAAGTGTTGTCTTTATTCCGTTTTGATGTCTTCGATGTCTTCGTTCCCGAGAAGTCATCGTATTCTTCATAAGTGGGAAAATTAGAGAAGCCGTGTGTTTTGCGATCCCTTTCCTCCCTTTCCACTGGTTTGCTCTTCGCGTCCAACTCTTTCTTCTTCCTCTCGACCGACAGATTGTATTCAATCTCTTCAGTGGTCGGCGGATCCGTTCGCGTCTGTCTTAGCCATGCTTTCAGACAAACAAATGTCAAACAATGGTCTCAATCATGAGATGACATACAATTCCATTCCGGGGGTAACTCTCTGTCCCAGAGGTCTTCGTGCGGAGGTTTGAACCATCGTTTGGGTTGTGATTTGGCGTCAAATAACTCTTTAAATCAAATGAATGGTTAAATTGAATGCATTTATAACTCAAATATGAATCATTTCATGTGATCTCTTCTCACGTTTTGAATGATTCTCGAAGTAATTGTTTCCCAAATAATCGCTTCCCATGTGTTTCACGTTTGACCTCAAGTTCTTGGGTCTTAACGAGTCTACGAATCGATTGATAATCACGAAGAAAGTGCTTCTTCCGCGGTATGACATTACCGTCGATTGCGTCACGAATTGTCTCTTTTCATCAACTTTTGAATCAAAGACCAAACAAACGATACAAATCACTGAAAGAGCGCTTTATTTGAATGAAAGTCGAGACATAGAAACTGCACTTCAGATGATGTGTCGTGTCTTACAAATGATGGTAACAACTGTTGTCTCATCAATAAATTCAATTCAAAACCAATGTTTGTTTAATTATTTGCTTTAAAAGTAATGCATTTGTAATTAAAACCTTGTAATAAGAATAATGTATTGAAAGACTATTCAATGACTAATTCATAAACAATTTAATGATAACTGAGAGGATATACTGTAGTGGAGAGTAATTATTTGTAACAAACTCATAGGTTTGAGACAATTTAGTCACTCTATGTATTGCTGTCATCATTGGATCCAATGAGTCATTTGCATAATCCTTCTAAAAGTCATGAGTTTTATTAAATTCTAA